CTTCTGAATTATGGCCCCAACAGTGCTCACTGGAACCTTCAGAAGTTTAGACATTCTTCTGTAACCGATGGCATCATTCAGCTGGTGTCTTGGCTTTCCATGCCTTTTTACACCTCCCTTTCTTCATGTGTTCAATACTTTTTCCCTGTGCCATTCCACATTATTACAAATAACTTCATTTCTGGACATGTATGGTTTGATTTCTTTGTATGTATGGATCACTTGGGTTGTTACCGACAACTGGTGAAAATTTCATGTCATTAGCACCTCTAGTAATATATTTACTGAGAAAAATGTTGACGTGTTCAATACTTGATTTTACCCGCTGTACCTGCTGCAGTAACCAGAAATATTTTGAAGACAGTAAAATATTTAAAACAGCAAGGAGATGACATAACAATAAACACAAACAAAAACTGGAGCCATGGCAAAACGGAAGTGGGTGGAGCCAGAGGTGAGTATGAAGAGGCCTGGAGTCAGTAAGGTTTGGGTCAAATCATGGTGGAAATAAAAGAGTTTGTTTATTTAGAGAAAACATCAGAAAACAGAAGTTCTGCAACAAAATGATCAACATGGTAAAAGTTCAAATTAGCTGAAGTCTGAAGATGAAACAATACAATTATATTAAGGAATATAAAAAGATTTCTATACAGTAAAACTGTTTTCAACAAAGCCTTTTAGATGTAAAAACATGTTATTTTAACTTGTGTAGTGTGTGTTTTCTGTCTGGAATACAGGAGAGGAAACACGAGCGTGGAAGTAAAGGACTCCGAAAAGGAAATCTTTTGAGAAGAGACGAAACGTGAGGAGAAAAGGAAAGGAAAAGAAGGAGAGATGAAGATGAAAGGCGGCAGATGAGAGGACAGAAGAGATGGTAGATGGACTGAAGGTGGGGGATAAATAGGCAGAGAAGTCAAGTCCGAGTTAGACTGAGGAGAAGATGAAAGCAGAAGCAGCCGGGTGGAGGTTAAAGAGAAAGAGAGCAGAGAGAATGAATAGAGTTGAGACTTGGATGGATAAATGGGGGCAGAGGGGGTCCTCAAGAGCCGGGTGAATGGAAGAAAAGAGCTGAAATTGAAAAAACATTCCTCTCGCTCGACTGCAACCCTGTGATGATGGGTGCAGTCACTCTCCTCACCTTCTTTAAATCTGTCAATTGCACAGGTCACCGTGAAGCTGTCAATCACAGCGTGGCTCCTGGCAACACGGAGAGAAAATGTTCTGTCCATCTTCACCTTTTCCTCTCATCTGATCAGGTACGATGTGTTACCTTCAGTCCTGACTGAAAACGATCCGTTTCTAATTGGTGTTTAGATGTCCAACACATTCTTACTGGCAGCTGGTCACATGCTGTTGGTTGGTCCGAGGCTCAGTGAGTATACAGCTGCAGAGCCGCTCACTGAGCTCCATCAATAATAAATCCCTACAGAAGACATCATTTTCCAGCAGGAGCTTGTAAACAAGTATTTTAGACCTGCTGAGCAAATTGAAGGGGAGGCTCTTGTTCTTTCTTCACTCTGCTGCCTTTACTGGCACTTCTGTTTCTCTGCTTTAATATGCATTAAACACACTCAGATACAGGCAAATGATGTTGTGATTAAGCTTTGAGCGACATAATAAAATGTGTTTAAGTCATAAACATTCACCATGTTGCCTTAATGATGCATCTCATGATGGGAACCACCATCCTCTGCACAGCAACATGGGTTCAGTGTTCAACCTGTTTGAACAGAAAATGTTTTACGACAGGGAAAAAATAGGTGAATTTGAATTTTATGTGAAAAAGTAACCAAAAAAGTTGTGACAGCACCCTGATCGCAGTGAAGCAGTGTCTAAACATGTAGGAGCTGAAAAGTACTGATGGGATTTATGGCTCTTTTGGAGGAACCGTTCCTTTATAAGAACATTTGCTCACATGGTCCGGTTAGTGACGCAGTGTGGTTGTACTTCACTATGTACACAGAGATGTCTGCCACCAAACATGTGTCCCCCTCCCCCCATGTTCACTAATCAAAACACCTGTGCTCCTCCCCTCTGACTCACCTCCAGATGAGAAGTGAAGGACTGTGAGAATCTCTTCATCCGAGTGAAACATTAAAAAACTAGAAACACTCGGAGAGTGCAAACCTCTGCCAAGACCAGTTTCCCCCATCCTGTAAGAGTTAATGCACAAAAGCAGAGATGGAAACACATCTGCTGAATAAGTTCTGACATAGTGAACATTTAAGCAGCAGTATGCATGGAATTTCTTCCCGGTGGAGTCCAATGTGAAAAAAAAAAGTCAGACTCGTCACCCGACATTATTCATGGTCAAACTGGTGTGGGATTAAGCTCCTAAGTTTTCATCAGTCACATTTCACCATGTAAAACGTCTGTTTTATCTCCTTGTATGAGTTTGTAATGGTTTGACTCTCTTTATAAAGTGCTTCCTGGCTCCCCCCGTCTCCAAACTTTGAGGCCCGGCAGCTCTCTGTTTACAAGCTTAGTAGCGAGAAACTATTTTGATTGGTTGTTTGGGAAATGTGGTGTGTTTGAGGAAATGGGWAAAATGGGTTTCATGGTGCAGTCACGCACTTCCTGGTCACAAAACGTTCTCTAAATGCACATATTATGGCAAAAATTATTCATCATTAAATGTGGTTTTAACATTACTTTTATAAAGTTTGAAGTCTGTGCTGTCCAATCAAGCTCACTGTTTTTTTACAGAAGCCCTGTGAAAGCATCGCAGCTTTGCCGATCTCAGTGTGTTAAAAGAAAAAAAATCCTGTATCCGCATCGTGATCCAAAAGACCACCAAAATTTAAAGGTGTGTTCCTTGGTCCAGTACCCACATGTGGTAAAAATGTCATGATAATCTGTCCACAAGTTTTTGAGTAATGTTGTCCACAGACAGAACGACCGACAGACAGACAGACAGACAGACAGACAGACAGACGCAACCGAAAGCATTACCTCGTCCTTGGCAGAGTAAAAAGAACGACTCACAAGTGTCTACAACCAGGTTTCCATTGTTTACCTCAAAAAGCTGCTCAGCAGAGTCAGATCATTGGTGAACGTCACATTTCTTCTGATGAGACCAGCTGCTGGAAGCTTTGGAAAATAACATCATCCATTTTTCCTCTAACTGTTTAACAATCTTTGGTCTTCTTTTGCTACATTGTTGGAGCATTTGTAGTTTCAAAACCTGTCTACACTGATAGAAGCTTTCCAGATGTGGACTCTGCTCATGCTATGTAGGCACTAACACCTCTGTTATCCTGTTGGTGTGTATTTGAACTCAGGGTGCAGACAAAAACTCAAACAGGCTCAGATGCAAACGTGACAATAAAAGGCTGTCAAATACTTACAAAGGAAGAACTCTGGAGGACACAGGAGAAAAAACATGAATGACTTGATGTTTCACAAGGAACTAACAACAGGAAAGCAAATATAAAAGGACACTAATGAGGCACAAATGACAAACACCTGGGGAGAGTGAGAGTGGATGAACATTACTTTCTGTCCCGCCCACTTCCACCTGCGACACACAAGAAACACAACTTAAACACGAAGATTCCAAAAGACAAGAAAATATAACATAACCCACAAAGACAACACTAAAAAATCCTTTCAAGACACAGAAAACAAAGACTGTGTCTCAATTCAGGGGTTGCAGCCGACGTCGGCCACATTTGTCGGCTGCTTATACCATCTTTATTTATAAAGCACTTTAAACAACCACAGGACCAAAGATCTGTACACATAATAAAACATGCATTCATTCATAAAATTGTGATGTCATGCTTATGTCATTGCCCCGTGCCGTAAGCTGTCCCAATTTGTAGGTGCTTACTCGTGTGGCCGACAAAACCTCGAAAACTTCTGGAACTGAGTATCCTACGCACTCGATGGTATCCCAGAATTCATTGTGCCATAAACAGATTAAACAGTAAAACAAAGACAGCAGCGATTTTATTTTAATTTCACTGCAAAGTTTGTTTTCTAAGGACAGCGTTTGGAATTTTATCACGGGCTGAAAACCGTAAGTTAAACAACTTAGCTGAATAAAGTTTTGTTGCAATGAGATATTAAATCAAATGCAGTTACAATCACTGATACTGAAGCTAAACCCAAATTATTAATGCTTTTTAGTTATTTACTTGTAACATTTTTCTATTGAAACTAAATTTTGAGAATGTATACCTTGAAAAAACAACTGAAGCGATGCGAAGCAAACACACGTCTTCTATAGAGACCGCCTCGTTTCACAGCTGTTTATGCAGCTGACATGAGCGGCCTACAGCCCACGTAGACTGTGGCCAATGTCAGATTCCAACCCATGAATTAGACACAGCCTATGATAATGACACCCCTATACCATCAGAGAGGCCAGCTTCTGAAATATGTGCTGATCACAGGCTGGGTGGTCCCTCTCCTCTTTAACGCAGACGCTGTGGGTTCCATGGTTTGTAAAACTGATTTCAAATGTTCTGATCACAGAGCAGCTCTCCTACTGGTTTCAGTCTTTGAGCTTTGGTTCAGAGAAGACAGCAGGGGTTCTGAAAGGTGTTCACGTTTTTTTTTTGTGTGATAGAGCTTTAAGCAGCATTAGTTGATGGCACAGTGAACTGTTTACAGACAGTGGTGTGTGGAAGTGTCCATGCAGTGATGTCCAGAACAAAACAAGAGCCTTCACTGTAAAAAATAACTTGTAAGATTTACTAGAGAAAACCCTGTAAACAATTTGCACTAACATTTGTTAAGTAAATTTAAATGCTACAAATTTATGTAATATTTACTCATCATTGTCTAGTGAAAGTTATTAAGAATATAGTTAAAGATTTGTGAATAAATCAGGTAAATGTTACTTAATTTACTGAATTTAATCTTGTACAAATACTTGATCAAATTAAGTAAAATTTACCTGATTTATTCACAAATCTTTAACTTTTTTTAAAAACTTTTACCAGATAATGATGAGTAAATAT